TACCCTACTGAAAAGTTCTGTGATTTCTTCTCACTCAGAACAAAGGCGCAGCCCAGAAGGCTTTGTGTGATCTGGCCCTGCTTATTGCTCTGGTTTCAGTCCTTATTTCTCACTTTGTTCCAGCACTCTGGACTCCTCAGTGAACCTGAAATATATTTAGCGAGCTTCCACTTCGGGGTGTTTACGCTCTTCTGCTTATCCTGGAACGCTTTTACCCTAGAGATGTGCTCCCTCACGCCCTTGTTTTATTCGTGGTGCTGCTGGAGTGCCACCTCCTCAGCAAAGCTTTCTCTGAACGCCTGTTTTAAATAGCATTCCCACTTCCTAGGACTTTCTCCACACTCAGTTTTATAGGTTCTCTTAGCACTTATAATTGAAATCAAGTTGCATGCTTTTTAAAAAAAATTTGTTTAGTAGCACAAGGAAGTTGCTTTGTTCGTGTGTCACTTCTTTGTTAGCATGTAAAATGCGTATGGGATAGTGTAACCATTCCATTCATTCCTGGGCAACTCCGGAATGAACAGACAGATGAGTCAATGCATAGATACAAAAAGACTGCAAAACTTTAATACAACTTACCCGAGTCAAAACACTTTTACACGATGGGGTCCACCAACCTTATAGCAAAATGAAGGCAATTTGTATTCACAAGGATGAAAAAGATGTAGAATTTCTTTCCAATTGACCTGCCACAAACTACAAAACACAGCAATCTTTGTTTACAATACAACTGACTTACTGCTCCCATTTGTAGGTGTAGGTCACAGCATCCAGGGCTGGGGAGCTGGTGGAGGAGAAAGTCTTGTTAAGGCATCATTCTGTATGGCTAGCTAGCTGGACTGGCAATATGAACTGGTCTCAAAGGAGCTGGCTGTATCAATAACTAAGAACATAAGTTTCTAAGATAGGACAGCTCAGTGACCCACAGGTCAGCTCCAGCACTGGAAGGAGCAAGGAGAAACCTTCTATTTATTGGGAAAAAGACATTGGAGAAAGTTCCACCCAAAAAGGCAAGGGATTGGGTTTTGAAGAGTGGAGTCTTGCTTGGTGATGTCTTGTGGTCAGCACATTGACTGACATCTTAGAAAGCTACACCCATTTCAGGTGCTGTATGCACTCAAAGACAGAGACAGAGAGAAAAGGCACACATAGGTCGCATAGCCAATTCAGGCAGTAACGTCAGGCCAGTCCTCTCACATGTTCAAATGTGCATAGCTCACAAACACAGCCCATGGATGGCTCCTGACAATTCTGCCCAAGTCATTTACTTACTTGCATCTTCTCTGAACACTAAATTCTTTAGATCCAACCCCAAATGTCCTTATGTTTTTAATACCTGGTAGGTGGTTTTAACTCAGGATCTATAAAGATAATGGGTATTTTGAAAAGTGCTGAAACTAAGTTTAGACACACTATTATCGACCATGTCTAATCGAGACCCACTATATATACATAAAATTAATGAAAGAGGGATTAATGATAATTCCTGATACCTGAGAGAGGTTTCTAGTACTACATTATCAAGAAACAAATTTTTGCACTATCTGAATTCTATCTTTACTTCACAGTTTTGCTATAGAATGTTATTCTCAATGATAAATCATTTGCTTCATGATTCAAGGAACTTCCAGTTAGTTACTATAATCATGAGATTTGAAGTAACTTATACTTAACCAAAAGTCCCAATATTGACATTACTACTTCTATTATCTTGAGTAATTTACCTAACTTCTCCAAGACCAAATCCATCATATTTTTTTTTAGATAGAGTTGTTAAGTATACATAATTCCTATGGTTTTTATGAGGCTTACAAGCTGATAATAATGTGAAAATTCAACTCAGTATTTTGCATGCAGTAATCACTTAATAAATGTAATATAAAAGCAAAATTGAGTATATAGAAAATAAAATGATTAACATATTATATATTTTCTCGGTATAAGACTTTAAGTATTGGATCTTACCTGTTAATTTTTACGGGAGACTATTTCCTCACTTAGCTTTGCAACTTTTTGTCTTTTATTATAACACTGTGATAACACTATCACCAGCCACTCTCTGGGAACATGGATCTTCTTTCAGTCAATAAGAGGCAAAACATTTGAAAGAGTCCCTCCTTGTTTGGCAAAGAGTTTTCCAAGGTTCAGAGTTATGATCACCACAGGACTTTCTGTGCAACAGCAAAAATCTTTCCCCAGGAAACAATAAGTCTCTAAGGTCCTATTTCACCCCTTCATGCTCCTTGTCTGGACAACATGGCTGACTATACAAACTAAGCATTCTGCCCTCTACGTAGTCTTAACCTGCTTTGCCACAGGCTATTGCTACGGCTTTGGTTTTGCTCAAAGTCTAGTAATGTCTCATATATTTTGAGACTTGGAGATAGAATGTCAGTTCTTCAGTGCCACAAGCACCACCTAAGGCTGTTGTATGAGTCAAGTATTTTCATCTCTTCCTGCTCTTTTGCTTTGAAATCAGCAAGGTTATGTGTAATCAAAGAACAAATATGATTGCTCAAAGGAATTAGTGGCTGGTAAATTTAGAACTAACCTCTCATATGCGACTTCACACAGAGATTGTTTTTCATCTTTCTCTGCATGTCACATAGCTCATCTAAATGAGAAGTACAAATGTTTTCAAAGGCAACTCTACACACAGCTCAAAATGTGAAAAAAAATGGTGAAAAGGAAGGTTTTCAGTGTATTATCGATTCCAGCCACCTGACTTTGTATTGCATTCGAGGGACATGGATGATGTGACTGAGTTTCAATCATATATTTTTTTTATTAATTGGACAGGGTTACATCATTCGGGGAAGGATATTTGAATATTCGTAATGTTTAAATGGTAAACATGCAGAATTAATAAGGACAAATTAATCAGCATACATTCATTGAATATGAAAAGTACTGTAATAGACTTGAAAGAAATATAAAGATGACTAAAAATAGTTGCTGGCCTCAAGGATTTCACCATCAAGTTGTAGCTAAATAAGGCATAACTCTGTGGAACAATAACTTTCAAGCACATAAAGCCCTGTGCTAAAAACCTAGATTAGTTGCTTGAGGAAAATCCTACTGCATAAGCCAGAGCCTACACGAAGTGTAGCTGGAAAATATGCCATATTAAGTAGAAAACAATCCCTTTTTGCAAATGGTTTTAACATAAGGTAGAAGAAAGGTTAACAGAGGGGGGAAAAAAGCCCAAACATGAACTCAGGAGATTATAGTAAATTATAAATTCTGCTACATCAATGTCTTACATGTCTGTTTCCATCCCTGACCATCTCCTGGGGGCAGACATTCTTTCAATATGGCCCTACCTCCAGGACTGTTAGTACACTACAGCCCTGTTACCCTGCCAGGTTCTCAACAAGGCTCAATTTCTATCTCTCTGGGACCCATTATTGATTTTGTTACATTCATATATGTTCAGATCTGTGCTCTGTTTTACTGAGTGCTGCCTTTACATGAAGTTTGAATTTTGTCTAGAGCATGTTTTTATTCTTTGCCTCATTCCCTTTGCCTGCATTATTAATATCTTCTTTCCCCCCTTTGCTACCTTGATGAAAAATGTAAAGTTTATCACCACATAAAGCATTAGAAAACAACTTTCTAGAGCTATTACTTATGACTTGACACTTGGCTTATAGCAGTGGGTCTTATTCAAGACTAATGTAAACAGTGAAACCAAATAAGCTCCAATTTATACAAGTAAAATGAAATAATATAGCATTTTAAAAAGAGTATCCTCAGCACCACATTAAATAAATAAATAAATGGTATTATGTCCAATTACGACTAAAACAATTTTTTTAAAAAATCACCAGAAGGGTCATAAAGGATCAATTTTGATCAGAAATGCTGTAAGTTTAGAAAAGAAAGGTTAATCCTTATTTTTATTGATCTAGAATTGTCTCATGTTAAATTGTAAAGAAACTCAGTTAGTCTGTAAAGATGGGTAGGACTTAAAATAAGTAGGAATAAATATGAAAATAAGTAGGATGATTGTCCTAGATGAAGGACATTAGTAAATGGTGAAGGATGCATAAAGGGATTGTAAATTGAACTCCACTGAGAATAGGAGGGCATATGTAGTTGAGGTCTAATTCTGTAATCTTTAGCCTGGATATGATTCCTCCTCTTTCTGTCTACCAGATGAACCTCTTGACAGTATACAGAAAGTGTGTGTGTGTGTGTGTGTGTGTGTGTGTGTGTAGGCCCGCGCATGTCTGGACACCAGTGAGTTTCTTCATGGGGTAATCAGATACTGTTTTGTTGTGTGCCTATGTGTTGACTGGGGATTGAATTGATTTGAAAAGTAATAAAAGTGTTGAGAAAGGAATATTACTATAGTACAGGATAAGCTTTCAAATATATCCCAATGAACATTTAGGGGCTTAGGGGAAATCTCATTTCACTTGATAACTTTTCTAATTCAGGTCAGGTATATAACCTGTCTCCTGAGAGAATGGAGAAAGATATGCTGAACAAGGTCAAGTAAGATCAGCCCACAGTGCAAAAAAATTGACAAGTCCTTCCTTACTTTTTTGTGTTCAGCATTGAGATGAAGGCTAAATCGTGGGATGGATGTTCATTGAGATCATTGGTATTGCAACTATAAACACTAAATAATGTGTTTGCCTCAGTTTCCACTCCCAGTATTTTACAAGTGTCTCTGTGACAATTAGTGTCACTTTGGCTACATTTTTCAGGGAGATCCTTCAATATTTTGTATTAACTCACCTGATTCACAACTTACATGTGTACATACTATCCTTCTTTTTAATACCCAAGCATTCCAGCTCTGCCTGTCCCTAGTCAATTTTTTCTCCACTTGCTTTGTCTACTTTCTGCTATAAAATTTGAGAGTTAGTCATTGTCCATTCATTGAGAATAGGGCAGAAAACATGACAGAGGGAAAGGGTGAACCAAGAGAAAAAAGATGAAAAAAATGCAAGGCAATAAGTGTTTTTTAATCCTTTTTTTCTGTTCTTTAGAAATATCAAAAGTCTCATGCATTCTTGGAGGCAAGTAAGTTTGAGAGGAAACAAACAACTGATCACATCCCAATCAATGACTTAAGATTATTTCTTTAGAGTCCAAGCATCAAAGATGGTAAGTACCAGAAGTGAACTTAACAAGGTCAGTTCAGTTCCTTTCAGGAGGGCCGTTCTTCCTCTCCAAGAGCACAATCTCCCTGTTTGCCTCTCTGTTGGTACTGTGGTATGGGGAATGCAGATTTTCCACATCTGCAACTCTCACTTTTCACATGAATAATTGAAAGCCCACGTGGCTCTTTCATCTTGTTTTCAATGACCCTTGAGGTAATGGGTAGCCATTATATTTTCCTGCAATAATCAGGTTAAGCCATAGTAACAGTCCTGCCCTGTAAGTGGAACAAATAAAAAGGCAGCAATCATAGGTTAATGACATTCTCTGTGATTCTAAAGACCATGAATTAGAGTTACCCGTCAACAGCAAGCAGTACTCTGTGTGGGAATCATAAAAGAGAAATTCAAGTGCATTGGACAACTACGTTTAACTCCATGTCATAATCAGCAAATGAGGACCAGATTAATTTCACAGATTTCTTTCTGATTGCTAAGATTTGAACCCAAAACCCTAATTTTCTATGATTAACACCCCAAGTAATAAGAGTTTTATCCACCAGTAAGAAATATCTCTCAAAGTAGAGGAGTTTTAAAATATAAATGCATTTTGATTTTGCATTAGGTGTTTCATATTTTGTTCAATTTCTGCAAGAAAATCTAAAATTGAGAAAGGAGTCAAAAACATTTTAGTTAGCATCAATGATGAAAATGATTCAATATTATACGATCTAGATAAAATACATCAAAATCTACAGTAACATCATCACAGGGATTTCCCAGATAGGAAAGTCCCAGAAAATAAACAGCATATTTTTCTTTCTTCAAGAAAACCTATATGCCTAGGCATTTTAATTATACTAATGAAATAATTTGAAATTTGTACAAATAAGTTAAAATAATGCATTACTGTCTTAATAAATCTAGGAGAAATACACCCCCCCCAAATGTGCATTAATGACCTTTTAGAGAAATGTTGAATCAACACTTATTTGTTAGTCCTTCTCTGCAGAGAACTTTGAGGAATGTGTTATCTGAAGACTGTTTTAGTAAGCTTTTTCACTGCTATTACCAAAAGACAACAATATATTTTAGAGGATGAAAAGTTTATGTGGGGATTCATAGTTTCCGAAGTCCATCCATGAATGGCAGACTCTATTCCTTGGGGCCTGAGATGAGGCAGAACATCATGGTGGAAAATGTGTGGCAGACGAAAGCTGCTCAGGACATAAGAGCAGGAAGCAAATAGAGAGAGTTCTGTTATAAACATATACCCCAAAGACATGTCCCTAGGAACCCACCTCCTCCAGCCACATACTGCCTGCCTACAGTTATGATCCAGTTAATCCCTATCAATTAATTAACTCACTGATTAGGTTAATGCTTTTATAACCCAATCATTTCACCTCTAAACTTCCTTTTACTTTTTTTCTACATTTTAAAATAGATGCATTATACTTGTACATATTCATGGAATGTGTTGTCACATATTCTTACAGGTATATAATACAATTTGGCCATTACTACTGCCCAGAATTTTCCCCACCTTCCTGTTTCCACCACACACACACACACACACACACACACACACACACGCCCCTTGGTCCCTTTTCTCTACTTTGATATTTAGGAGATGTGTCCCCACCTTTGTTTTCCTTCTTCTTCTCTAGATTTCACATTTTAGAGAAAACATACAACCTTTAACTTTCTGAGTTTGACTTATTTTGCTTAACATGATGGCCTCTAGTTCAAATTTTCCTGAAAATACCATAATTTTACTTTTCTTTATGGCCAAATGAAATTCCAGTTTGTATATATACCACATTTTCTTTATGCATTCATCTGTTGATGGACACTTAGGTTGGCTCCACAGTTTGGCTCTTGTGAATTATGCTGCTATAAATGTGAGTATTCATGCATCAGTGTAATAAGATGACTTTAATTCTTAGAGTAAATACTGAGAAGTGGCATAGCTGGGTCATATGGTGGTTTCATTTTGAGGAGCCTCCATACTGATTTCCATAGCACTTGTACTAATTTATAATACCACCAGCAGTATAACGGTGTTCATTTTACTCCTCATCCTCTCTAGCATTTATTATTATTTGTATTCTTGATGACTGCCATTCTGATTAGTATGAGATGAAATCTCAGTGTACTTTTGATTTTCATTCCCCTGACTTCTGGTGATATTGAACATTTTTTCATGTATATGTTGGTCATTTGTATTTTTTTTTTGAGAAGTGTCTATTTAGCTCTTTTTACCATTTATTAATTGGGTTTTTTGATTTTTTGGTGTACATTCTTTGAGCTCTTTTTCTAGATATTAATCATCTGCAGAAGAGTAGCTAACAAAGATTTTTTCTTCATTCTGTGGATTGTCACTTCACATTCCTAATTGTGTCCTTTCCTGTGTAGAAGCTTTTTAATTTGATGCTATCCAGTTTATTAAGTCTTGGCATTATTTCCTGAGCTTTAAGGGTACTATTGAGAAAGGCATTGCCTGTACCTGAAAGCTAGAGTATAGACCTACATTTTATTCTAGAAATTGTGTATTTCTGGTCGAATTCCAAATTTCTATTTTCTTTCTTCTACATATGGAAAACCAGTTTTCCCAGAACTATTTGTTTAAAATGCTTTCTTTTCTCCAATGTATGTTTTTAGCACCTTAGTCAAAGATCATGTGACTCTATCTGTGTGGGTTCATCTCTGTGTCCTCTACCCTGTACCATTGTCTGTGTGTCTGTTTTTATGCCAATACCATACTGGTTTTGTTACTATATTTCTGTAGTATAATTTGAAGTCAGGTATGTACCTCTGAACTTTATTGCATTGCCTCACACATGAGCTTTCAGGGAACCCCCAACATTTAAATCATAATAAGGATGTATCCTATCTTGGTCAAAGTGAACATTAATCAGGTCTATAGAGTCCTACTGGTCCATATGGGTCTCCTTTGCCTGTAGTGTAGAAATAGCCCATGCCATGAAACAAACACTATCCTGGAGGTAATACCTAACTAAGATCAAGCCTTAAACACATTGTCTTAAGTGAATGGCCCTGGAAAAGCCACTTATCAACTGGTAGCTGCAGTTTTCATTGCTGTTTTGGAAAATAACACTACTTGTTTCATAGAGTGAAGTGAGAGATGGATGTGTATAAATATATTTTCGAAGTTTTAGGCATTATCATTAGAAGCTTGATAAACTAGTCACATTTATTTCTAAATTTAAAGTTGATATAATTTTTGCAACTTTGGAGTTGGTGGTTCCTAAAATAACTCTTGAATAAGAAGTACTATAATTTCAACAATAATAAGAAGCCACATAATGTTGCCCAAACCCCAGTGAACATTAATTAAATGTTAATCAAATGAGTAAGGACATTTATAAAATAATTAAAAGGATAATTTTTTCTTTAAACTTAAAATTTTCCAGTGGCCACAGAACATACAATTACAGGAAATTAAGTGATCTGATTATTAAGATTAGGTATTTCTTGAGCTACAAGTAGATAGACAGAATTTATATTACAATGTAATCTCAAGAATTACCAAGAAAAACAAAAACAAAACTACAAAACAGAGATAAGAAATCAGGCCATGGTGAAAGAGTATGAGGCTTACAATACTTTACATGCTTCTTATATGAGTTTTATGACAACATACATATTTTTTGACCTTTCTGGCCTCAAGTACATTTTCCATGAACTGTATGGAATAATAACTCACCAATTATGTCAATAGAAAACAACATGAGCTTATGTGTAAGGTTCCTGGAAAAGGTCAGTATACCATCAATATTAGGGTATGCTTCTACCACCTTTAAAACATTTTCCCTTTCTTTAGTCTCATAATGGGTATGCTAAAGAACAGTTTTTAAAAATATTTGGGTCAATCGATCAGTTTACCAGTTAATAAATGAGATTCAAGTGTGAAGAGGAGCAAACATTCACTTCATTAATGAGGAATTGTGACAGTGCTTCGAAGGCATTATGCGGAAGTGGGCCCAGTATTTTGTCATACTTCAATCAAGGAAATTGTTCCTGTGAGAAAGACTCAGAAATTAGAGGTAAAAGGTTTTTTTTTTTTTTAAATGTGTTCTTTTTATTTATACATGACAGTATAATCCATTTGAATAGAATTATACAAGCATGGAATATATCTTATTCTACTTTGGATCCCATTCTTGAGAATGTACATAAAGGTGGGATTCACTGTGGTACTTTCAAATACATACATAGGAGAATTATCTCAGATTCATTCCACTTTCTTTCCTTTTTCAATCCCCACTCCCTTCCCTTTATTTCCCATTGTCTAATCTGCTGAATTTCTACTCTAGTCTCCTCCTCTTATTGTGGATTAACTTCCACTAATTAGCAAAAACGTCCAACCTTTGGCTGTTGGGGACTGGCTTATTTCACTTAGCATGATTGTCTCCAGTTTCATCCATTTACCAGAAAATGCCATAATTCTATTTTCTTTATGGGTGGGTAATACTTCATTGTGTATATACACCACATTTTTTAATGCATTCATCTGTTGAAGGGCACAAATGTGGACTATATAGCTTAACTATTATGAATTGAGCTGCTATAACATTAATGTGGCTCCCTCACTGAGTCTGCTGATGTTTTAAATCCTTTGGCTATATAACAAGGATTGGAATAGCTGGGTCAAAGAATGGTTCCATTCCAGTTTTTTTCTGAGGAATCTCCATACTACTTTCCAGAGTGGTTACACCAACTTTCAGTCCCACCAGCAATGAATTAGTGTACAAAAGGAGGTCTTTCTACAAATATACTTTTGCATAAGTTGATCAAAATATGTCTACATGTAATATGTCTCCATTTTCTAATAATACAATTTTACCTTTAAGCTGAAAGCTTAAGCATTAATAATAGTAAAAGTAATAACTCAAAGTAGTAAAGGCTATCATTAGTTGAACTCTCATTTATTAATGGGGTATGCCATTTACTACTCCAGGCTTCCCAGAGTAGAGTCTTTTC